GAAACTGGGACTCCTGACAACCATGCAAGACCTGGCAGACCACCAAACTATCATATAAACGGTACTTAAAGCTTTCATCTTTGACAGAGATGAGAAAATCAAGCTCCACTCTTACTTCAGATCTGAAAAATCAAGTTTTTTCTGTCCATCCTTCCACTGTGAGAAGACAACTCAACACTGAGTCTGAAGGATGTGCAGCTGTAAAGAAGCTGTTACTGAGAAAAGGAAATAGACAAGAAATAAAAAACAAGTGCAAAATCTGACAAAGAAGCTGCTGGTGTTCTCAGAAGAAAAGTCTGCCCACCCCAGATTTCAGACCTAAACATCACTGAATGTGTTTGGTATTACATGGATTGTGCAACCAACTTCTGAGATTGAACTATGGAGATGTGGAAAAATATCCCTGCAGATTTCGTTGGACAACTCAAAGCAACTCTTGAAAAAACAATAAAAGCTGTAATAAAGGCAAAGAGTCGACACACTGAATACTGGAAACTGTGAAATATGCTTCCTGCTTTTTTTCCTGACACAATCATTTTGACTGGCACAATCATTTTGACTGGCAATTAAATAAATGAAAGGTGGTCTATTACTTTTACACAGCACTGTGCAGCATCAGAAACCACATAAGCAAGTCTGTTTAAGATTACTTAACCAATTGGTGCAGTTTGGTGTAAATAAGCTTTCATTGCTTATTAGCTACATGAACCTCACAAGTCCAGAAGCAAATCTGAGACACCGAACATGTTTTGACTGATCAACTAAATTTGGGATACACTGAAAACCTTTTTTAATTTTTTTTTAACTATTGCTTTCATAGTCAAACACTGGTCTTCTGGCTGAATGTGACTGGTCCATGTCGTGTCTTAGCAGGGGGTGGTTCTCTGAACACAGCTTAAGCTTAATCTCAGTCTAAATTACTGTCTTAATGGTGATTTCCCCCATGTAAAGAGCTTAGAGCTTAATCCGTGTCCAAAAAACAGCCCCAAACGCAGTAAGGTGGTGGGAGTTAATGCGCATGTGACGGTGGTCTCACATATAGCCTCAGTGCTGAACTAGGACTCAGTGAGTGGGTGCTGACATTTTCAGAGTCTCCACATCTGTTACCCACTGCTCTGGTCGCTGTGCGTCATTTTATTTGCTTGACCAGGGCGCCCACTTGTGGTGGAGTTGGCTTATGACATGCAAATTACATGCTTGAATAATTAAAACAGCTCATTCTTTCAACTACTGTAAATATACAAACACATACACCCAGGCTTGTGCATTTTCTCTGCTTCACTGTTGAAAAAACAACTGTATTTTGAGCAATGAAACTTAATCCTGTGAAAATATTTTAGGAACAACTTTTTTTTCTCCATAATACATACATTCAAGGCAAATGATACATCCAGTACAATACATACTTCATCATTCAGAGATTGGTGCCCAAACAAAATATATTTATATATTTTCAAATGAGTAGAATCCAGCGCACAACGATAAATAAGGAACATAACAGTCAACATGGAACAAAGGTTTCCCACATTCAAATTGTACAGTTCTCCAGTTATACGGGTTTCTTCGAAGCATGTCTCTACAACCAAAGTGAAAAATAGAGTTTAAAATACAATTGTCTTTACTGGCCTCACCGAACTCCAGGGCAGCTTCTTGCTCTCATTTCTGTATGTACACTTCAGTAGCAGACATGGGAATAAAGGATAATAAATTAAGTGTTTTTCACAGTACAAATCAAGAAAACTCTCTCTTTCATACATCTAATCAACAGTCTTTGAGTTATGTTTTGAGATTGCACAACTGTATGACACCAAAGATGATGTTCTAGAGGCTTTGGTACACAAGCTCCTGTTGGAAGTAATCTTTCGTAGGGTCAGACGTCCCTCACACGTACTCACAGGCTGAACCGAAGACGACTGATAAGAGTTTATGAGAGTTTGAGGCACAGTAACTATAGAGGGTCAGCAGGGGAATTCCCAAAAGCTACCTGCCCGTTGATCCAGAAGCCTTACATGGGTAAACATGAGGGGGTTCTAGCTTGTGGGGATGGAGTCAGGCAGCAGTAGCTCAGGAGAGGGGAAGACATTAAGGGGAATGTGCGACACTTTTAGGTCTTTCTAGATGTGAGCACCAATAGCGTTACGCTCTTCAAAATAAAGGTGCCAAAAAGTCCTCTTTGGAGTGATCCCACAGAACAGAGGTCTTCGAATCAGGACGTTAAATCCATCCTGTCCTGTTTTGTAATCACTGGTAGCTAACTGATGGAATGTTTTGAAGACCTCTGCCTTGGAAAAACCTTTCAATTCAGTGATTGTTCAAAAAACTCAATAAATAGCCACTCAATGAAAAGACAGTGGTCTAACTGTGGTTCCCCTATGAGATGGGTGCCCAGCCCTTAACCTGGTGATCTACTGCCCTGAAGAGTTTAGGTTCAACACACCTGTCTGTAATATCCTGATGTGCCTGAAGGTCTTCATTAACTAGATCGGATGTGTTCGATTAGGGCTGCAGAATGGTAGAGGACCAGAACCAGGCTTGGTCACCCCTGTTCCATGGCTTTGCTCCAAAGAAAATTTTTAGGCACCTTTATTTTTAAGAGTGTATGTGTACTGAAGAGGAGCTATGGCTGAAACACAGGAGTGGCGGAGATCACTTCAGCTTCAGGGTGGGTAATATGACAATATAATATCGTCACAATAAACTATGCCACATTTTTTTCGGAGTATACATCTTGTTTCATTAAAAGTATATTTAACTGGGGCTCCTGTAGGTGTCTAAGGTTTCACCTCATCATCAGAAGAGTGCAAATTTGAATCCCTCTGATGTCAGACATCATAACAGGTCCTGCATAACAGATGCAGTGATGTGCAATGTGAAATGTTTGGAAAACAAGGAAACAGTGTCACTGATGTGAAGACCTTAAAGCTATGAGTGCTAAAAGCGCCCTCTTGGGGAGAATCTTCAACCTGTTAAACATGAGTGAGTCACACATCAGGGGCCAGATTCACAAAAGTGTCGTGAGAAAGAAAACACTAAAGAAAAAAGTTGAGGCAAAATATTACTCTTTTTAAAACTTCTTAATAATGATTTTTTTCCTATTTCTTTCTTAATTTTCCTCTCAAGCACAACTGTAAGAAGTGCTATTCTTGAAATATGTTCCTAAATATTTGTGCAATTTTCTGTGCAACTTCTGTTTCACTAAATATAATGTCAAAGGTGAGCAATGAGTATTTGTTCCTGTTGGCTATTCCCTCCATATCTCTTCTAGTTGTTGTTTGCTACATTTGTTTTTGAACGTTTGGTTTAGTTTTGTTTTGTCTTTATTTTGCTGTCTTCACAAACTGAGTAGATTAAACTGAATAACCGATTAACAGAAATAACAGTTCATTCAACTTTCAAAATGTTGTCTTTTAATGTAAACTTTAAAATGTAACAGGATATTTATAGGCTTTAGGCCAAAAAAACCTACAGCCTTCAAAAGAGAACGATTAATATTTTCTTAAGAAAATAATGAATTTAAGAGAATGTTTGAGAACTATTTTTTGGTATTTATTCAGTAACACTTTACTATAGGGTACTGTTCATAAGGCTACAACATACCTACATAAGCTTGTCATAAAAACTGACATAACCATATATAAATGTTTATAAATGCTTATTCCAATAGGCATCATTTGCTATAAAGGTTACATTTGACAATTTTGAGCAAAGTTAGCTAAAGTAGGTTTTACGACAGATATTGGAATAAGCATTTATAAACATTTCTGTAAGGTTATGTCAGTTTTTATGACAAACTTACGTAGGTATCACACAGCCTTATGAACAGCACCCTACAGTAGTGTGTTACTAAACATTCCTTTGAACTTTGTAGTGTTTGCCTTCAGATCCTTTGTAAATTTTTTTTCTTAGGAAAGCTTTCAGGAATCCGGCCCCAGGTCGGTCCCAGTGTGGCTCTACTGATGCAGTTATCCTATCATCTAATCAAACCTCAGAAAAAGTGATGTTAAATTTTTGTCATATTACCCACCCCTACTTCAGCTTTAGAGTGGGGATCTACTAAATACATGGAATGTCTGTGCTGATCTCCAGGCCAATACTGTAGTTCAGGCTCAGCCAAGATTTAAACTTCACCCACCAGAAGTTCCAGTGAATGAACTGCACACTAATCTGGGTTTAAAGAAGCCATCCAACATCCCTGATGTGGCACACCGGAGAGGCACTGGTCTCGTCACATTGCACTCTGCACATGGCTATGTAGCCATCATGTGGAAGCAGCTCACCCCAAGCTAATCTCATTTTAGAGCAACTGGGTTCTCTGATCATCAGACGAGGGCAGGAGAGGATTCTGGGAATCATGCCTCCGCCCCATTCTCCTCCTGTTCGAGCTGACCAAGGAGCATCACCGGCGTCTGCCGAGGGACAGTTTCAAAGTGCAAAAAGTAGCGATACAGGTTGTAAAACAAGGAACGAAGGCAACGTCAGCTTTTTTTTTTTTCTCCATCAACCATCAGAAGAGTTCCAGAAGAAGGCCTGGAAGGAAAAAACAGGGCCAGCGAAGTCATACGGACAAAACACAAGAACATGATATAGAAATACTATGACAAAGTCATTATCATTGGCACAGTCCTTTTGGTCACAAATGGATGCTTTAATAACTTGTCTTCGTGGCTTAGTGGATTCTTTAGTGGATCTGACCTTTGCTTTTGGAGAGGTACTGTTAAAGTCAGGCTCTGTAGAATTATCTGGAAAATGTGCTCAGTGCCATCTCGAATAAAAGGCAGACGAGTAGAAGAAACGATCCTCCTGAGAGTCACTGGTAGGTGCGGAATACTTTCTGTACTTTTGGCAGGGCAAAAAACAGTCATTGGTAAAAGAGAACCATGTTGTGCCCACACAGAAGGCTCGAGTCATTTCTAGAAAGTGGACGTGGGATGGACCTGACCGGAGGCGGTGCTTACTGGAGGAGTGTACAGCCGAAAACGTTAAAAAAAAAAAACAAAAAAACTCAGTCACAGTGTGCTCAAATCCCACAAGCATGCAGACAACTCCAAAGGTCTGACACAATGGCATTCTGTGACAGGCAAAGGATACCAAAAGAGGACATGTCCAGGCCTCTAAGGCCAGCAGCAGGTCCCGGGCAGTCTCATCGCTTTACCCCAGTGGAGTCAGAGAGAAAGAGAGAGTGCGCTCTCCATCCCTCTCCCTCCCTCTCTCCCTCCGAGTGGACTCTGGAGAGAGGGGGTGATGAGGAACAGGGCGCTGAAGCTGGGAGCTGGGAGTGAGCTTTGGTGCGGTTCCTCTCACCCTCGCTCAGCTCACTTGTTCTCTATAAGCGTCTGCACCTTATGCACCAGCTCGCGCGCTATCCTCAGGATGTGCTGGACGTCGTGCCGTTCGGCCATTTCTGTCAATCAGTGCAGAAGAAAACACACATATATATGGATATATCTAGCCATAATGTTCTTATAATAAGAACTTCTGGAGACAGCCTTGAAAATTTCACTTCAGGCCTGGACTTCAAATTATAGAAAACAACTGCAATTTAATTTGGTCACAATAGTGGTCAGAAAAATCACAATTAGTTATCTTCTCTAAATCATTCAGCCCTATTTAGAAGATATGATACAAGTTAATGGAGGGTTAACAGCAGCTGTATGAGGCCTCTGCCATTCATAGTAACTACGATACAGCCCGAGTACATGTGATGTGGAAAGAACTGATTGCTATGTTCGGGAAAAGACGAGCTATTGGATTTGCTTTCAAGCTAAACGAAGTAGATGACTTCAGGGAGGGTTTTAGAGGGGACGTATCCTATTTGTGGTGGATTTTGCTGCTGTCCAACACCAGAAGGTTAACAGGTTGTCCCCAGATGGTACATGTATTCTGGTTATGAGATCATGTCTGGCCCCGTGAGACTGGTGAGCTCCGAACACATATAAAACAAATTACTTATGGTCTGAGGGACCCACTCAACTTCACAGTTCAGCGTTGTGCTTGCGTAAAGGCACCAGCTAATTTGTCCTTTAAGCAATTTAGGAGTATCAGAGCTGGGAAACAAGGTTGTGCAGGGCAGAGCCAACCAGAGCTGTAAGCAAAGAAATAAGCAAACAGAAATTATATGTGCACATTTGTATTCGTATTGTATTCATTTGTATATGCATTCACATACTGCCCATCAAACATTTGGGATCACCTGGCCTTCTGTTGAAATTTCCTGAGTAACATTTGATTTTCACTGTTACTTTTTGATTAACTAAGAAAGGAAGAAGTCACTACAAAAGCATTTTGGATATATTTGGGCATATGTTGCTGCACGTAGCTTCATGTTTGTCAAAGTGGTTTCCAGAAAATGAAAACTTCAGTTTTGCCTCAAATTCAACTCCTGGCTGGCTCACCAACTGCTAAGTGTTCATAAAATTTTGACAAGCAGTGCCTGTCCAATCTGGAGACCCATTCCACTTCACAGTTCAGTGTTGTCCCAGCTCTAAACAAAGGAAATATGATGCCATGCAGGGCAGGGGCAATCAGTGTTCTAATCAAGAACAAGCACAACAGAAATGATGTGTGCATGTATATTTATTCTACATTTGCAAAATTACCTGTGCATGTACAGTTGTTCTAGCATACTATTTTGCATCTTCAGTTTAGTGCTGGGACTAAACTAAATAACACTAGAAGTCAATAATCACACATATCTTTTCAGACCTGTTGTCTAAAGTGGGTGCCCCAGTGTTCAGCTATTAACTGAATGCGTTTATTTGTAAAGTTAACAGTAAGTCTTACTGTGTCTTAAACCACAAGTCTGCGTGAGTTCAATGAAATCTGGAAGCAGTTTGAGTGAGCTGAGGACACTGATCTAGTTGACTGTTGACTTCTATTGTTTGTCAGCAATGTTAGCCTTAAAGCTAGCTTGCTTAAAGAAGCAGAATTTGGATACCAAACATGCCTTGGCATCTGGGGTAAGTGGAAAACTGTGTGAATCAGATTTTTCACATTTGAGTTTTCAGCTGCTTGAGATGCTGCTGCTGTATAACAAACAGTTTTGGCTTCCACTCACCGTTGAAAAACTTGATGATGTCCGTGAAGTCCATGTTGTTGTCACGGATGATTTCTCGGTACACCTCCACCAGAGCCAGCGCAATGAAGAGCACAAAGTGCTGGGAGGAGATATGAGGCGCCACCCAGATCACCTCCCACACTGCAAACACATCTTCATAGAGCAGCTCTAAAAAACGTGCGTGCACACACAAGCACAACTCAGTTAACACTTACTGTGACTAAGCGGATGCATTTCAGAAGAAGAATCAACATTTGTTGTGACATGGCAGTGCTGCCGCACCTCTCTTGAAGTCCAGCAGGAACCAGCGGTAGCAGAAGTAGAAGTGAGTGTAATCTCCGTTCTGGTGCATCAGCTCAAACAGCTCTGAGTCAAGGATCTGAGAAGCAGCAAAGGGGACAGCTCATTAATAATCTCTTCTAATGTCACTGCGCGAACCTAAGGAGGAAGCAACTGGGTGCTTAGTCAAATGGCAAGGCCTTAGTGAGACGTCTCTGAAACATTACCTGTATCAAGGACCTCATATTGGCAAAGTGAGTGTCCATGGCTCCTCCATTGGGGAAGTTCTGACTCATCCTCCTCATTAACTGAGTGAAACAGCTGTAGGCGAGGCACTCTGAGAGAGAGAGACGGCACAAAGCACGGAGACGTCAGCAAAAAGGCCTAAAATAAGCCAGATTCATGATGATGCAATCCTTCAAGGCTGTTAAAGTGCAATCTGCGTATATATTCTGGCCCCATTCTTCTAAAATGAGATGACTTACATTCCAAGCCTAGAACACTACATTCCTAAGAACTACACATGTTGTCAAGCCTCTGTGATGGAGATTTATGATTTAAAGGCCAGACAAAGTGAGCTTAACTCAGCACTGTCAAGGCTGTTAACCTAAAGGTGTACTTATCACAGTCAGTCACTTTATCAAAAGGGTATACAAATGTTTAACACAACAGTTTATAGCCAAGGAACATACGCCGAAGACTACAAAAATGAAGTCAAAGCTTTGGCCTCCCATTAAAATGACAACCAACAATGGCATCACGTAAATAACAAGATTAGATTCTCACCATCATCCAAGATGACCATCAAAGGGGCTAACAGGTCACACATGCCCTGCACATAGCCCACCTCTAGATGCTCCCACACATAACTGAGAGCCAGAAAAGAAAAAGAGAGAAGAAAATAAATGAATGGAAAGGATATACTCAGCCCAGTCATTCACTTAAAAAAGATACAGTGAGAACAGCAGCGAGCGAAAGGCACAGATGCAAGTCAGGCTGACCTGCACATGATGTTACGCAGTTTCTCCAGGTTGCTGGTGGTGAAGTAGTAGTAGTTGCGGTCACAGCGCGCCACATCCTTGTCTATTCTGTGCAGGTTCAGAGCCACTGTATCCAACAGCTCAATCTACTCAGAAACAGTTTGAATTTTCATGAGTGGCACAAGAATTCATACACAATAAAAATAATAATAAATAAAAGAAACAGTATGCTATACACAGTCAGGAACCACAGTCTATTTGAGATTACTGAACTACTCAACACTGCTTAAAGCAAGCATATGATGATTTAGGCCAGTGGTGTCCAATCCTATCCTCAAAGAGCTGGCGTGGCTGCAGGTTTTCATTCCTAAAGAACAGGATCACCCTTGATTCCACGTGTTTTATTAATGGCTCAGTCTTCAAACAACTGATCATGTCAGCTCCTACTTTGTTGGAATTAATGAAAACCCGCAGCCACACCAGCAGTTTGCGGATAAGATTGGACACCACTGATTTAGGCAGCGCTACATAGTGGGGTAAACTATCACTTTAAAAGAAGTGGACATGTAGTAGAAGGTTGAATGTACCGTATACGAGGAGAAGGATGGTGGAACACCCTCGCTATCAGTCACCAGTTTGTCCAGCTGACTGCATAGCCTGTCCTCACTCAGTGAGTCCCGCCCACTCTGCTCTCCTCTGGGCGTGGTGTCGTCTCCTGGTTCCTCCTCCATGCTTTGCCCGTCCTCAATGCTGGACAGGATCTGGGAGTGTCCTGAAGCTACTGAGTAATTCCTGGAAGAGGGGAGGCCTGAGTCTGGAGAGTCAAACTCAACAAGCGGCCGATCATCTGGAGCCAGAGCGGCAGGGTTGACTACCGTGCTCATGGTGGGGGTGTTATCCCCTCCATGGGGGGTGTCCTGGCCCGCCCCATCAGGCTCATCCACTGACATGAACACCTGAGAGAGAAGCAGGGACAGGATGGTGAGAATAGGTGAGGAGTTATAGGGCAACAACAGGAGAGCACATTCTCTAAACCTCTTTGTGTAAGCAGTACTGTCCTATTAAAGAGGAATTCTGAGAATTTTTCAAAATGTCTGCGTGATTAAATAAGATTTAAAAGTAATTCAAAGTGCTTTGAAGTGAAATTTTATTATACAGGAACTTACCGAGTCAGAATTGTTCACAATAGCGTTGGTAGGAACCAGACACCCGAAATTACTGATGGCTCTAAAAACTACCTCACAGAAAGATATTATTTCAAACGGTTATGATTATGCTGCCTGATGTCTGATGAGATGTTTTCTGGTAGTTTTGAGATAAAGCTTTTGGCCCAAAAACGTATTTTTAAAAATACTTTCATGGTGGAGGGGGACATGCATATGTTTTCAAATTTACCACTATATTACCATAACCAAAATTACAGACAAAAACACAGAAGACACATGCAGGTTCACTGGGTGTTTTAGTCATAAATAAACTACCAATGTGAAGAAATATGAGCTGGGACATTTCACATAAAACCACTCTGAATGACTTTATTTATATATTTCCCATTTAAGGTCTCCCTAGTAACATGAATGTGAGAGCAGACTCTCCCCAAGCATTTAATAGATAATAATGGATCATTAATATCTCAAATCATTGCTCCAGTTAGCAGGACAATCTACCTGTAGAGTGTGCAATAATGCAGTTAAACAACCCTGGTTCTGGCCATTTTAGTGTTTTCCCTGCTCTAACACACACTGCAACACGGAAAGTTCTCATTGGCTGGTAAGTTGGATCAGGGGTGTTAGACCAAGGAAACACCAAAATCTGCAGGGTGGTGTACTCCAGGACCTGAGTTGAGGACCACTGCAATAATGTAATACAAGGTGGAAACATTCTTGTGGTCGCATAGCAGTAAATAGCCATTTGTGCTTTGCTGTACAAGAGCAGTAGCGCTCACGGAATGGCTAAGCACTACTTTACAGAGCTGTGCTGCAGGGCTGGGAGAGGCCCACCTCGTTGCTGAGGGTGGAGTCTCTGTGGATGAGCCTCATGACATGGCTGTCGATGCTGCTTCCTGACGACAGCTTGGCGAAAATGGCCGACTGCATCTCCTTCTCTCGCTGTTTCACAATGACCTCACAGGCTTTCCACTCTCGCATCACTTGCTTATATCGGGCAGCTATCTTCTCATCAATCTGCAGACAGCACACACTCAGACCTGCTTCATGACGAGCTCAGAGGAACATCTCAATACTGAAGTGCTCCTTGTTACAAGCCAAAGGTTTTGGCCTTACCTGTGTCATGTCTTTCTTGCCCATGCCAAACTTATAATGGCCCAGTAAAAAGGGCCACACCTCTTTCCTGATCTCATGCTCCACCCCTCCATAATAAACCAACCGCAGCAGCTCCAGCTCCTTATAGTTCTGTGCAGAAACAGCAATATAAAGAGATGAAGAGAGATGCGTACACAGTTGTATGCAGAAGTTTAAATACCAAGTCAAATGACGTTTGTTGATTTTCTAAGTGAAAGTAAATGAACACATCCTCTACAGAGAACACATTCAATTATGCAAATTTTAGTGCACAATTTCTATTTATTTGCTTTATTTTTGAGTTTAACATATTGAAAAAAAAAAACATAAAAAGGAGCTACAACATTTGCAAAAACCACATTATGTTTTCCAATGTGTTAAATTCAGCGAAAAAACAGTAATTTTGAATTCTAATGTGCAGAAATGTGCAAAATGGGCACCTAAACCTCTGCATACAACTTTATATACTCAGATATTTTCCACAGCCTACGCACCATGTTTTATCTTGTACATATTAATAATATGGCAAATGCAGCATCCATTAATCTATTACTAAACATAATTCTTGCATATTAGCACCTGCTACAGGTACATCCCACCTGATCTACAGTATATTTGTAAATATTTTGTACACTTAGTTTACATACACATTGTTATATTGATATTTTGTAGCTGTCTTAAAGTTATTTGCATTTCTGCGTTTACTTTGTATTCTGTATTGTCCATTTACTTAAAGCCCCTAGGTTATGGAAAACTGCCCAGCAAATCATCCGCACTTCTGAAATAAAGACAGTTTGATGTAGTATTTAATCACTGTGGACACATCAAAATGTACCACTCACTCCCCCTGTTTATATGATCTATATATGGAAACAAAATTGCAAAAAGCCTGTTTTAAATAAATTTCTGTAATATCATGAAAACTGGTGCATTTACATACATCCATCTCTTCAGCCCACAGCAGTTTAGCCCATTAACACTTAGAATTATAAACACCGTTTCAGCTGGTACTGCTGTTCAAATGAAGTGTGATACAGGGCAGCCAATCAGAACAGAGTTAATATACATATGTCAACCTTGAAAGCGCAATAACAGAAACAGCCTATTGCAAAGGGTAAAGAGAGATTGATAAACAGTTGTGAAAAATGAATTATAACTGTCTTTGGTGCATAAAACTGCACAAATCTAATAACTGGACCTCAGAAGAAAAAATAAAATGCAAGAAAAAAAATGGGCCTTTTAAGCACCGATTTAACTGACATGAATTTCTTGTACATGGAGGTGGATTTAAAGACAGATTCTGATTGAGAGATGATGTCTCAGTGCTAAAGTCAAGCACTCTGTTGCCCTCTAGTGGAAAAACCGCCTCAACTAGTCCAACTAACCTTGCAGTCTTTTTGGTATTTGCTCCAGACGTCTTTGCTGAGGCCTCCAGAGGCTTCGCAAGGTTTGTCCGGGGGGACGATGTTGTGGTTGACCAGCGCTGACAGATGTGTCCTCACAGTGGACAGATGCCGACAGTATGCAAGCCCTGAAGTGAAAGACGTTTATTTTTAGCACGCAGATCGTCTGAATTAACACAGACTGCTTTATCTATAATGCAGATTTAACTTACAGCCATAGAAGGCTCTGGAGACGATCTGCCTCTTCATATTGTGGCACAGCATTTTGAGTGGAATTCTGGACATGCAGAGAAAATGCCAAAAAAAGAAATGATAATCCAGCAGCAGGAAGTGTACACATTAACCACAGAGAGTGAAAGGTTCCCAACCCCCACGCCAATGCTGGCGGACCCCTGCTCTGCATGTAGAGTTTTCTCTGATCCAACACTCCCACTTCAGCTCAAGAAAGGCTTCTTAATGAGCTGATCAGTTGGATCAGGTTACAGTTTTAATTGGGCCTGACATTTCTGATCTGAACTTGACTGCAGCCTGCAGACTCTGATCATAACCAACCAGAGACTGAATAAAACTTCATGTTCCTTATGATGTCACCTGCTAAGTTATCATTTAGTGAAACTGGTAGCAGTCATCAGATCACTGATGAAAAAGGATAGCCTGATTATCAACTACACAAAACAAAGTTTAAATTCCATACTAATGACTTTATTTATCAATTAACGCCAATAAACATCTTCAAACTACAAAAACATGGGAGAAGCAAGAATTGCAATTGAGAAAAATATTTTAAAAATATAAAATATTTTTTTTCTGCTTTTTAAAACTTCTAACTGAGGATGCTTTAAAAAACTGAGGATGCTTGCCATATGTTTTGTGGGAAGTATCTCCACAGTTTAGGAGGCTACAGCCTCACCACATCTTTTGTGTTCTGTAATGAAAGCAATCCTGTGTAGTGATGTCAGTTACAGGGACACCAGTGCACCAGATTAAAATGGTTTAAAGTAACAAAAGCACTTTACTAATCTTGTACAGTCTGGCAGGAAGAATAAAGAAAGGAGAACACCTGTTAAGTATTTAGGTGGTGGAGACGTGCTATCAGAAACCCAAATGTAAAATCTGAATCCGAGGCTCAACTGAACCCGATGCAAATGCTTGGGTCTCATCAGATTCAGATAAATGTTTCAAACTCTAGATAAGGAGTAATGCTGAGGTGAGAAGAGCTCCCTCACCGGTCATGCATGCAGGTGCATCCTGCAGGAAGCTCCACAGAGGCGTTACTGCCCCCAGTGGAGCAGGACAGACATGACGACACGTGACTAGCGCACTCGGCCTGCTGCCATGACGACGGGCTGCCTCCGAAAGCCTGCATCTCCATCATGTCCCCGTGGTCTAGGAGGAGAAAGAGCGAGCGAGAAAGAGAAAGATGAATAAGCAACTTAAAACCTGTCCTAGTAACCCTCATTTGAAGATTGCTCCTCCACAATTCCACTGTGTTACAGTATGTGTCATCAGTTTAAGTCTGTCTGCTTTTTCAATTTTTTTTGGCACAATTTTAAAGAATTGCCAACGGCACTGGCTTTCACTGAGTGTGGTTATTTTTGTCTTTTACTGGGCTAATCCAGACAAAGAATAAAAAAAAGAATTATGGTGGCAGCAACATTTAACTAGAATAACTAGAACGATGGAGAGGATTTTTACACAGTTGATACTGCTGCATTGATTATGATTCTGATATAGTTATCTAGTTAAAACAGGCCCCTCAGCTCAACCATCAGATTAATTAAGGCGGAGATTCATCTAGCCTCCAACTCAGAGGCGTTCACTTCATGGTTTTAATCATTTAAATCATCAGATTTGAATTTGGATCTTGGTAGCCTCGAGATCCTGAGGTACAGACACAGTGAGGTAAACGGAGCCCTGAGGTTAGCATGCATCTGTGAAGGAACAGAAACCAAAAGGAAAAAAGGCATGAACGATGCAAGGAGGGGAGGGGGGGGCCATGCCAGAAGACCTGCCAATCACAGCGTGCCATCGCACGGACACAGCCAGGCATTCAGACAGCTAGGAGAGGAAGAGAATAGACATACAGCCACTGCTCCCACCATGCTGGATGCATCCAACCAAACAACAGGGCAGAGAGGAGGACGACAAACCAAAAAGAAAAACAAAAAACAAAAGAAAAACAAAAGAGGAAAGAAATTCATGTCATCAAATGTAAATGTATTTGAGCCAACTCAACCAAATAGTACAGAGTGAGCGAATGCTCTTCACCTTAATTCTTCAGGCCCGAGCTGGTGACCTGCTAAAGATTACTGCATCCCTTTGGGCCACACCCAAAAAGCAAAAAAAAAAACAAAACAAAGAATAACAAAAGGGACGGAGAGCGCGTTGGAATTTCGCTGCCGGTGGGTCTCTTGTGGGCTATGGGACTTTAAAAGACTTTAAAATGTTCAAATAGGTGACACGTTCACGGAACGATTCCCATGTCTACCACGCCAGAACCCCACAGGACCTGACTGTCGTAATGAAAGGTGACCGCAGTTAGTGAAGAATTACAGTGAACAGCATTGCAGAAAACCGGCTGAACACAGGAGGGAGGGAAAACAAAAACACCAACTCAATGAAATCAAACTAAAGAAAACTAAAGAGAGAAGTCAGAGAAGGGGTAGACACAGTCTTGACAAAGAAGCAGAAGTGCACAATCGGTCCAAAAATGAAAAGAAATGAAAAAAAAGATATTCGTTGGTGCAAATTTCCCATGCAAAGTCATCAAGCATGTTGCAGTGAAATCAAATGAACAGGTGGAACCCAAAAAATGAAGTGAGCGTTTTCTTAAGGACTTACTGAAGTCAACCAAAAGAGTGCCAAAAGAAAACAGCGCAAATAATTGGAAGCGTCGCTGCTGGCCCAACAGTGCAGAGAGGAGGGGAGAAAGAGAGACAGAGAGAGACAGAGATAGAGAGAGAGAGAGAGAGAGAGAGAGAGAGAGAGATAGAGAGACAGAGAGAGAGAGAGAGATATAGAGAGATAGAAAGAGAGATAGAAGAGAGAGACAGAGAGAGAGAGAGAGAGAGAGAGAGAGAGAGAGAGAGATCTCTCTCCCTTGTCAGATAGTGTTTCTGGCCTGCCCTTCATACTAAATCCACATCTGGTCCCAAATTCTGAGAACACGAGATGAGTCAGGTCCATCTTGGAAAGAGTAGAGCTGGTCACGATATTTTATTTGATATTGAGATTATTTTTTGTTCTAGAAACCTGAAGAAGACAAAAGGCTCTTTCTGATGTAATTGAAAATCATTAATTACTAAGACAGAAAATAAAATTAGTAAGTATAAATAAAAAATACTAATGAAAAACTTATTTTGAGGACACCGTACTATTGCTGGGCCTTCAGAGGACCTGTGGCCTTTTTTGCCACCATTTTCTCCAATACATTTTCCTCAAACTCAGTGCCCTTTTTTACTTTATTTATGTATTTGTTTATTTTAGTATTTCTCCCCATTTTTCTCCCCAATTTAGTCCTGTCCAATTCCTCCCACTAGCTAGGTTGTCCCAAACAACATGAACCTGTGCTATGAGATTGAAGGCTCATGCTTCCTCCGAACCCTTGCTGTCAGTTCTGTTAGCTAACAGACACCTGCACTGGCTAATACTGTGCTGAGGGATGGAGGACAGGGAGGACCACCCTACCCAAAGCCAGTTATGCTCTCGGACTCCTAGCCACGGACGGCTGTGGCATCACCGGGGATTGAACTTGTGATGCCATCGGGCCAGCACCCGGGCTAGCCCCCTCACTGCCCTTTTTACTCTTCATAATTTCAACAACGTAGCTAGTTAGTTAACTCTTCTCTCTCTTACCCACCTATTGAGTAAATGGTGCACATCATCACATTATGCCGACGTATGCTCCACCCACAAATGTGTTCTTTTGTTGTGAGGTTGGAGAAGCTGTACAGTACACTGACAAAAATCCCATTTAACTTAATGAGAAACTGTAGCACTCAACTCAACTTTTTTTGTCAAAAATGTAAATTTTGAGCTAATTTCTGATGATGTTCCTTTGTAATTTGTATAAAAGATCTAATTTTAGGTATGATTCCATGTAATTTTTTATTGTGTAATAGAGGTTTTGGGGATAAACATCTAACCAATAGGATAAGCTGAACGTTCACTGGCTTCAGCTGTTCTAACACTGATAGCTAGCTCAGTTAACATTGTACCTTACATATCTAGTTAGTGCACTACAGCTGAAGTTATTCTAAATGATTTACCGACAAACCTGTCCCACACTGTACTTCCCATAAACACTGACATCATGGCAAAAGCAAAAATCACAACAATATGTTGCCTTGAGCTACATCAATAAAATCTAGATAGCAATGGAGAAAGACAAATAGAGGAGGAGACAAACAAAAACTTCAAAGCCAGGAAAGGTCCCTACAAAGACAGGATGCTTGCACCATATTGCATAGGCTACAAGTGCATAATAAAATAAAAAACCCTAACCACATCTATCCCAACAGTGTGACCTTTCACATGCACAGAAAATAAATATCATTTGAAACTAATAACATAGCAACATAGATTTTTTGTGGACAGAGCATGGTGAGGTCTGTCGAAAGTTCAAGTGTTTGCTACTAAAGATTGGATTGAGAAACTAGGATTTTATTGGAACTACCACAAATGCCCATTGTTGATATGATACAATTATCAATATGTTGTTTGATTTCACTGCTGTTATTGTTAGCGGTTGCATAGACTAGTCGACTAGTCAAGTAATAAATCCACTAGTCAGCGCTGTGAAAAACAGTTGACTAGTTGAAGCCAGTGTCTGAAATACAAAAACCATGCAGTGAACAGGCTGGAGAAGAGAAAAGAACTTTTTCTGATAAACCAAAAGTACTTGCACTAGCATAACAATACTACACAAGCCGAAACAAGCTGTATAAAACTGTGCTGAATCACAGGCTCATGAGCCAGACTGGGTAGGTTTAGAGAACCACTGTCTCTGATACAAAAAGGGCTATTTGACTGACATGCAAATCGACCAATCACAGAATGTTTAGGATGCGCGCCCAAAACTAAAACAAACTGCAATGAGATAAAGCACAGTAGCAGCTGGCAAACGGGCTGCAAACTTAGGCTACTACCTACAAAATTCAGGAATAACCTCTTAAAATGGGATAGCATGGGTTTTCTGGCTCTATCTGTAGAGATGCAGCTGCTTAAAACTAGCATTTAGATTAATAAACAATTATTTATTTTGGAAGCAAGATCCACTTTGTGAAAGGTAAGTTTCTGAAAGCTGCAGTGATTTTAGTGTGTAGTTTACATCAGACATTCTGTGTACTTGTGTGGACAGAGTGCTTAAGGCTAAAATTTACTGAAATACAACAACAAAACTCTTCTACAGTACATATCTCACACCTCGAACCACAGCATCTGCGCCCCTCGCCTCTATTAGCAAAATACTTTTCACTGACATCCAGGACGCACATTTTTATTTAATATAGTAGTGATGACTAGTTGACTAGTCGGCTACTTTTTTAAATGACCAGTCGACTAGTAAAAATGAAAAGTCATGAAACCCCTGGTTATCATTTTATCGCTCAGGCCTAAGAGGCAGTCGACCAGTGTGGCTGCGTGGCAGTGTGATGACAGCACTGCCAGCGAGACAGGTTAATGCAGGTAACCCCCAGCAACGGAGGAGTGCAAGGGAAAGAGTGACGACAGCAAGAGGGTTGAGTCAGGGGGAGAGATGTGGCACTGATCTCTTTGTCTACCTCACGCGTACACTCTGACTGCCCAGCCTATTCAACAAGGTTTATGAAAATAATGCCGTTCGTTCTGTCGGTTTTACCGCATGACAAAACGCCAAATCTGCCTACCACGGGACAATGCGTGGGAAGCTTTGGGATGTGAATCATCCAATTGAAGAGATGATGACTACCTTACACTGTGTCTGATACAGAAGCCAGACTCTATGAGGCAGGCAGAAAGCACCATCATTAGCGTTGTCTCCTTCTCTCTCTCTCTCTGCTGTGGCTGGAAGTGTTGGAGTGGCTTGCGCGCTGGGCCTCATCACTTGACCTAGCTTTTGTTCTCGGCGCAGACGTTACCATAGTAACATGCATACAGGCTTGGCCAATGACACGCAGCTCTGGTCTAAAGAGCGGCATGGACATACAGACCTGGCCTGAATGTCCTACTGACATCTGCACTGTTGGGCTTGGGGCTGAGGAGGAGAGGGGGGGGGGACCAGGCAAGCATCCCGGAAGCAAGGAGAGATGGGGGAAGGGAAGAGAGAAGAGGAGAGAAGGGAAGGTGGAGGGCGAATGGGTTGGGGTGGGGGCACTCGTGATAAAAACCTTTCATGACATTAGGGTCTGTGAGGTTCCGTGAGCAGATCATTGAGATCATTGCGTGAAGTCTATCTTCCTCCTCCTCATCGTCGTCCAGAGAGGGCGCACGACTGCCCGTGGTGTGGTGGTAGTTTATAGTGACTGCTTGGGCAATAAGAAAACACAGTTTAGCACCCTCCTCCACACTTAAACCACACCAAACATACACCACTTGTCAAATGTTTGGTGACACCTACCCTTTGAAAGTGTTAAAGACAAACTAGGTTTATGTTAAAGTTCATAAGCTTTATAAGCTCCTCTGCCATGTTTCCTGCAGGATGTCGTTGAAGGGGAACTGAGATATAAACAAAGTCATTTAGAGTGTTTTGATGTTAAACAGTGCATTGTTGGGAAACACTGATTTTTTACAGCGGTGATGATGGGAACCAGAGGTCACAATGTCCACAACTAATTTTATTTACTATCCAAAACAACCAGTGAACATACATGTGTCTTCTGAGGTTTTATATACGCAATGTTCATAATGTTATGTTAATGGTATATCTGAGAAATTGTTTTTTTGGGGGGGGACTATTTTCCCTTTACAACACCCTGCGTGTACCTCTCCACCATGAATGAATTTTAAAAAATACATTTTAGGTCAAAATCCTGTCTTAAAACCATCATAAAACAAGGTCTCAAGCATCAGACTATGTATTTGTAATGTGTAACAGACTTATCTGAGGACATCTGGTTCCCATCACCACTGTGAACAATTCTGACTCCGTAAGTTTCTCTAGTGCAGAGTATTTAAACCCACTCTGAATGACTTTTTAACAATATAATTATGCAGAAATGTTGGAAAATAGTGAGATTCTATTTTATCTCAATCTGTCGCATCTGCTGCACTGACTTCTATTAGAAGTGCCAACAGGTTTTTTGTTCTTTTCCAGGAAATGTGTTGAAATTATTTTCTGAGGTAATCAACCGACACAGATGCAACAGATAGAAGGTAGACTGAAAAACACTAGAGGAAGGTCAAGTGGCTGTGTCAATCCATTACAGACAGCTCCCCTCCTTCCTCTTCAAATACAGTAAATAATAGATACAGTTTATTCTCTTTAATTAAGAAGTAACAGTGAAAATCAAACATACTTTGAAAATGTCAAAAGAAGGCAAGGTGTCTCCAAACTTTTGGCAGACAGCGTACACACACGCACACATGTAAATAAACGCTCTCAATTCATGCATAATTATTTTCGAGACCTCATGGGTATATCTTAAGATCCGTTTTAGCCAGCCTCCACGACAGCTGTCATATTCCAGGGAAGAAAAATATAAAGAAAATCAACAGTGGGACCCGGAGTCCGTGACTGATCCGGTCGTGCTCAGCCATCCGGAGAGGCGACAGCAGCAGCCTCCAGGCAGAGAGATGGACAGATGAGTGGATGGATGGGTGGGTGGGTGAGAGGAGGAAGAGAGGGATATCAGAGATAACTCACTGGAATCGTGGCGGTGTCCTGGGTAAACAATGCGGAAAACATAGTCTGCAGCAACTGGCTCCTCCCCTTCCCCATCCTGATCCACCAAGCGTGCCGTGCTGTTCCTCTTCCGCAGCTTAGGGAAGACTTTACCCTGCCACACACACACACACACACACACACACACACACACACACACACACAAGACAGAAGATAGTGTTCCTCCTTCTAATCTCTAAAAGTCTGCAATTAATTTGAGACATTACTCAGAACGGAACAGGTCGCATTTGAAAGTGCAGACAACTAGAACACGGCAGAACAGAAGGAACTGATGGTGGGTGGCCAATGCGAGGAATCAATTAGCTGCATAAAGAGTGTACTGGGGAGAGAATCCCTGATTAGCATTAGCTAATCAAATAGAGCTTGACTTCTTGTTTTCTTTTTGCCAAGCTGAACTTCCAATAAAAAGACAACAGCGCAGAGAGGAGCTACTTCAGAACGATATCTAGGGATGCACTTGGGCAGAAGTTGATATCAGACTCTGTGACATAATGCAACATCTGTAAAAAAAATGCTGTAATATGCTGTAAATTATGGCTGATTTTATTCTTAATACTTAAGCATTTATAAATGGTAGCAATTGGGACTAAAGCTACCTTATGAAGAACCATAACATTTACTTCAATAGGCATACAAGTGCAGTAAAATGAGTACAGTGAAGATATTTTAACACAGTAGTCCAGCAACACCCTTATACAAATGTCATCAAACGTCAGTTTAAAATATTGCTCAAATATGAACGTTCGTCTGATTCCTTTTTTTTTAAGCGATATGATTTCATGCATTCTTAATGCTACGAAGGGAAATTGTAGTAGATAGGTTTGTATAAGTATGCAGCGCTTAGACACTCCACTGTACTAAAGCCACTTCCCTTTTGATAAACCGTCTTAGAAATAACGCCTAAAACCCAAAGCTTAAGTTGTGAAAGGATTCAAACTCGCACTCAGTACAGAGGGACACTGCTTTAATTCTACCCAATACACCCCATGTGTCAAACAAAAGGCCCTGGGGCCAGATCAGGCCTTTAGCATAATTCTATTTGGCCCACGAAATTATTTTCATTTTGTATGATTATTAGCCCATTTCACAACGTGCTGCACAACAATACCCAGCATGCACTGCAGCATAATGTGCATAATGTAATGTAATGTAATGTAATGTGGCCTACTGCACTGTGCATAATGTTGTGTACTGTAGCCTATATTTATTTATTATGTAATATTTCAAGGTTCCCTACAACTGCCTTTATTTTGATGTTGGTGTTTTGGTGTACTCTGAATGAACAATGAGCAGCTCAGGTTAAACCAACATGTTATTTAACAATCAAATAAATACAAAGACGTTCTCTGGCCCACAGATTTGTAGAGGTTTTTTAATATGGCACTTTTAGTGGTTGAGTCTGACACTGCAATACACTGCAAGACACCCCACAATCCACCAACAGGCAAACTGATGATTGTTCAGTCGTAGCCCTTTTGTCTACCCTGCACTAATTGTGCTACACTACAAATACACATAGAGCAAGAACGAAAAGAGACCAGGAAGACACTCACCTTGCCCTTCTGGGACCAGAGCGGGGGCTCCAGTTGACCCCGGGGCAACAGTCCTGTTTCCAAGCAGGACAGGAAAGCCAGTAGGTGGCCCCCAGGAGGAAAGTGCAGGGGCGGCCGTTGGATGCCGTCTTGACTCACCAACACCAGAGTACCACCACAGTCCGCTAAGAGACAGCCATGTGACAGAACTATGATTATGAAGAAGGCTTGGATATACAGTCACTGGATACTTCATCAGAAACTCCAACCCTAACAGCACCTTTGTGGTCAGAAACTGACCAAAGATAAATGAGGTAGCTTGTTGCTGACAAATTTTGTAAGACAACAGATGTGCTACACTCTGGTACTGTACATCTATATTGTGGACCTACAGCACTGTGCAAAAGTCAGAGATCACCCTTTTACACTCAGAACAGTCATTACGTTATTTATTTTTCAGTGTCTGAAAAAAAGGAAACAGTATAATATTGTAGCATCCCGCTACTGCCTGGTACGGGCACCGAGAGACTCTGGAGGTGTGGCTAGGCAGATGGCCACACACAAAGACCCATGGTAGTGCATGTCCTCCAACAAAGGGACTAAATGTTGTTTAATGTTGGTTCTTGTCAGTTTAAGTTATGCTATATGTGTTGCTTGTGTTGTTATGTGTCTGGGGTTTTTTGTGTGGGTTCTTCACTTTTAGAGAGGAGGGTGTGGTTACAGGTGACCTCCCCTGCAGTTTCAGTGTTTCATATGTGCCCCTTTCTGCCGAGGTGTTCAATAAAGAGCACTGAGGCAGAAACACAGGGGTGGCCATGATTTTGCTGCAAGAATGTTTTTTCTTTCGCTCACAAAACAATATCAAATCTAACAACATTTAATTTGTCCACTCTTTACTTTTGTTTAAAAAGTTTAACTCTTGAACCCTTCCAATTTAAAAACTAACCAGTTCCAGCTGAGTCCTCCCAATAAAAGCTTCCCAAAGGAGTTACTGACATGTTCCCCTTCAAACGGACACTAACATTCATTCAAGCGACTACACAAACTCACCTTAACTGCCTCGCAAATGTCTCTCTCATGTGCATGTAAAGTGGCTAAAGGAGATATTTTTAAGGACATTAGGTATAAAATAATCCACTTGCATAAGGAAGGAGAAAGGTGAAAAAAACGTGAAAAAAGAAGTTTCCAAATAGGAGTTCAAAAATAATTAAAGATACAGAAAAAATGATCTATTGACCATGCAAGACCTGGTAGACCACAAAAACCGTCAACACTAGATAAACAGCACTTAAAGCTTTCATCTTTGAGAGAGAGGAGTAAATCAAGCTCCACTCTTACTCCAGATCTGAAACAATCCACAGATGTTTCTGTCTATCCTTTCACTGTGAGAAGACTCGACAACCTGAGTCTGAAAGGAAGTGTAGCTGTCAAGAAGCCCTTACTGAGAAAAGGAAACAGACAAAAAAAGAATATTTTCACTAGAAATGTGGAGAAATGTAGAGATGTGGAGGTTTACAGGACATGTCTATAAAACCTTGTAATTGAGATTACTTGGATCCTGAGATACACAAAACCAACTTCTAAGGCCTGCATTACACGTTATCTCAGTGTGGCGTGAGTGTAGTGGCAGTGTGAGTGCTAAATTCATACCCACTGGTTATTCATACATACAGCAGAGGCACTGTAGAGCGGAATAAGAAAGTGACATGAACAACCTTTTTACAGTTGGATAAATAGTTAAATCAGTCACTCTGCTCAATAAAAGTATAAGTAGGAAAACAGCACAGTACATTTGTTTACTTTCTACAGCATTCTGACAACAGTTTCAAGCCTGGAAGATGTACTGGGAGCACGTAACGTAGGCGTAATGTAGCACGTAATGTATAACTACTATTTTGTTTTTCATTCATGGATCAAACAAAAAGAAAGAATTTGAAGTTTTTATTCAGTTTTCTGTTTTATTTTCATTGCGTATTTCAGTGCATTTTGCTGCGCGGCACATGAAAAAAATGGCTCCTCGTCTATTCTGTAAATGCCATGCCGCTTCAGTGCCCCATCTGGCCTCCTCCGCTCAAACAGCCTGTGTGAAAGCTCTGACCTGTTAACATGAGTGCCGAAATGAAAATGCAAGACGTTCTGTGCCGCTCACGCCACACAGAGGTGGTATGTATGAAACAGGCCTAAGACTGAACTTTGGAGGTGTGGAAAAATATACCTGCAGATTTCTTTTGAATAACTAAAGGCAAGTCTCCCAAAAAGAATGAAAGCAACAGGTGGACTACCTAAATACAAAAAATATATATATTATTTTAGATGTTGAGGCTTCTGCGTAATTTTCTGTTAAATATATGCTTTCTGTTTTTTCCTGACACTCAAAAATTAATTTCTTGTATTGGAAATCAATTAAATAAAAGGGTGGTCTCTAAATTTTGCACCATACTGTATAAGACAGATGCATTTCATAAAGTGCCTGGTGAGTGGAAGAAAGCTAATTGTTTCTAATAAAGTGGACAGTGAGTGTAATTTGTGATATAAATTCTGGCTATAACCCCTAGACCTCAAGAAGCAAGACGAAAGACTTTAAGCATGTGCTGTGTCAAGTTTATCATACTGGAGAAATGATCAATCCCCTTATTCCTACTGTTCATAAACATTTTGTCTCAGTAATTTTCTGAATGATGAAAAATCAAAGCACTCACTTCCCAATGTAATGATTCTGTTTGGAGTGAAAATCGTTATCATCAACTTTATTATCTCAACATAACAGATAAGCATCCTGTTTGGAGGCACAGTAAAGCCAATACGCCAGACAGAGTAAGGCCACTAATAAAGAATGTGAAGAGAGAGAGACACTCACGCCGCTGGTGACAGTGGATGCAGACGATCTGTCTTAAAGGCACAGTCAGCGCGTAGTCCCAATAAATACTGCAGGCAGGGCAAAGGCAGGGGATCAAGCAAATACAATTTATGTGAATGAACTGTTTGCACTGCTGTAGTGGCAAATCAATGCATGAGTGCAATGTGTGCATGTGTACAGCTACCTCTTCTCCAGGTCGCAGTCCCCCAGAGTGCCGTTAATCAGCTGGTTGGGTGTCCATTTCAGTGTGAGTGTCTCAGCGGTCTGATGCAGAGACAGGTAACCCCTTAGCACTTCCATGTCCTTCTTCTGCACAAAAAATATGGACACACATCACACTGAAAATGACTGAAGTGATTTTTAAATCAAATTTGTACATTTTAAATTGTTTTAAAAAAACATTATAAACAGGTGATGCAATCACGCTTAGGTGAAACACTGCTGACTTCCCTGGGCTTGGGCTAATCTGATATGAATGGAGTTGGACAGTGGAGAAGTTTATTGTGGTCTGACAAGATTGTTAATGGATGTTGTTTTCTCTTGGCCAAAGAAGGGAAGGACCATCCAGGTTGTTACCAGCGTAAAGTTCAAAAGACAGTGTCTGTTATGGTATGGGGGTGCATTTTTGGCATTTTTCATTTTGACATAATTTGAAAACACCTGTTGCCCTTTAAATTTTGTGTAAATTTCATGAAAGGACCAAAGGAAATGGCCCAAAATGACTTGGAAAAAAGTCTGGTTCCATTGACTTACATTAAAAGTAAAGTAGGTTTTTTTTCTTTTCCTGTAAAGTCATTTTGAAGATACAAGGTTTTCTGCTGACATCAGCAATATTTCGGAGCAACATATGCTGCCTTCTAGACAACGTCCCTTTCAGGGGCTGTTAATGTTTATTTCAAAGTGACTGACGGCGAACAACATTCTGCATATTATACAACGGCATGGCTGCGCAATCAGAGAGTGTGAGTGCTTGACTGGTCAGCCTGTAGGCCAGGCTTGTCTCCTTGTAAAACGTGCGTTACATTATTAAGCTGAAAACATAACACAACTAAAACCAAAAACGGCAAAAAACAAATCTATTTTCAAAACTAGATCAAGGGGTGTCTTTGGTCCTCAAATGATTAGTAAGATGTTGTTAAAAAGGAAAGAGATGATGTAAAACAGTGGTAAACATGCTTCCGTCCAAATTATTTTGGAATGTGTTGCAAACATCAAATTTGGAATGAGTGTAGTAGTTGTGAGCAACTATTTTCTTGCTCCTTATAATCCACCTGTTCAGAACACCCTACTGGGAGATCCAGACAAAGTCAAACTTTGGGAAGGGAAAGAAACTAGAACAAAGTAGAGATATGCAAAAGAAAGAGGAGTGATGAGAGTGAGCCAGCAATCGAATGAGATGAATTATGCTTTTCTGGAGGTGGACAGATATGGTGATAGGGCCAAAGTACAACTGCAATAGCAACTATTAGGTTTCACACCCAAATCCAATTACAGCTAAATCTTACTCTTTCCCTGTAGGCCTGGGTCATTTACACTATTGATTCCCTTGTGCCCAGCTAAATCACTCCATGCTGCTGACCTTACTGTTATGAAATAGCCTTTTTACTCACTGAAAGACTTCTTTGAATAATGTAGAAAAGTTCCTAACAAAAGTCACCAAATTAAAAAAGCATTAGCCCTCTCTGTCTTCAGGTAGGACATCTTGTAAGGTCTTGCAGAAGTTATTCCAGCTCTGAAGGGCATAGAAAGTTTGTGTCAAAGTGGAGTTTACTAAAGAATTCTTTTGCTGCCTTTGGTGTCCTAAACTACACTGTGTTCTCAGTGTTATGGCACTTGGATCTATTTTAGATAATGTTATGTTTTTAAATGAAAGTACAAGCCAATGTGAAAACTCAAAAGGGTAGTTCCTCAGGTTCCTTGCACCTTCTCTGAAAATCAGTTACTAAGCAAGCTTAGATTTTCCTCACTATAACTGAGATAAAGGACAGCAGAGTTTACATGAATAGAGGGGCACAGTGAGATAAGAATCAATAAACACTTTCTATGTACATAAAGAGAGTCAATCTGTTGCCCATTTCTCAGACGCTGTACCCATCTGAGGTGATCAGAGCAACAGAGCATATCGATCAATCTTATTGATCTGAGCAGTCAATTTTTGTAGTATACACACTCCGGTACAGAATACAATGGGTTAATAGATCAGTCCCCTCCAGTAATATTCATTCCAGTAAAACAGGACATTTAATAAGTCACATGCTATGTCTCTGTTCTCCATGTCCATATCCATATTCTAAAATTAGGGGCAAATGAAATATAAATTCAATTTATTAAATATCTAAAATGTAATATGTTTGTAGTTACTGTGCTGCAAAAGTTTGTCAACCAGAACTGTCACTAGATAAGCAGACTACTAAACATTTTGAAACCTGATGCCCTCTGAATTAGGCTCATAGTCTACACTGAGTGCTTTTATAGTGAAGGCCATCAAAAAAAACACTGCGTATCTTTATGCATCAGAGATGAATGTTGCGCATACTGACCTAATAACTTGCTTTGTCAAGTGCTATAGCTTTCATAAACAAAGGTCCATCTAATCATTGTAATTCACCATCATTACTGACCATCATTAAATTTCATAACAAGACTGAATGAGTCACATTACTCAGCACAAGACAGCAAGCTTACAAGAAGCTTCTGTCCAAACGGGAAGCTGCAATCATTAAGTGCTGCTAGGGATGCCTGATCGGAATCGGTCAAGATTTCTGCTCCAAACACTCAATTTGCCAAACTGTTATTTAATTTTGGCCTGTGTTGCAATTTTTCACCTTGAATAACATGAGGCAGGTCAATGTACACACACTATATTTGAATGCTGCTGCTACACCAAAAAGTCATACCATAATTATGCATAATTCATTGTGCTAAAAAGCCATTCACTTTTTATCAATGTAGCACTTTATTCAATTTCATGTTCTTAAAACAGGTAACTGATATTTTGTTTAAGAATTTAAAATGCCAGTGTGGCCCATTATAGAGCAAACAATGTTATGTATGTTGCAAGTTTGGCTAATAGAAAGTAATGGTTCTAGTGTCAACTTGTTGAAAAACACTGAGCTGTTTGAGAAGCTGCTCCTGAGCTACACTGGATATGGGCTGTTCATGAAGGATGTCATTAGAGACGAGATCTGTTGATGGTTTTTCTGCGGGCAGGGCTGCGAGTTAGCAGAGGTTTGCGGCACATCCATTGTTTATGCTACTGAGAAAAACAGACTAAGGTATGTACCATAAAACAAGATATAGCAATTACGCAAATAAACATTTTACAGATGTTGAAGTCAAGATAGTGTAAGAATGTTATAGACTAGGACTGTGCTAGAATTGTCACAATTATTACATTAATTTGAGATAATTGCAATTGTTTTTATCTGATTCCAGTTAGTTTCCACAGTTGTTGTCTTTCACAGTGATGTGTTTATGTTGAAAAGAAAGAATTCAGAAACCACATTCATGGAAATAAGCCCAAAAGATCATAGCTTCTGACTTGTTGCTATATCACCGTATGGTTTCATGTGTTCATTTGTCCCACACAAAAAGGCTAATTAAAATTGACAAAAAAATCCAATTAAACAAATAAAAAATGACCCTCAGCCAATTTAAAGTAATTGGAATAGGAATCAGGGAAGAGTGAGAGACAGTGAAAAAGACATGAAGAAGCCAAGTCAGAGACAATGAAGGAGACAGCGGGAGAGTGAGCGAAAGAGACAGAGAAAGAGTGAGAGACAAAGGTAGTGACAGCAGGAAAGTGAGAGACAGTCAAGGAGACAGTGGGAGAGTGAGGGAAATAGCGAAGGAGACAATGAGAGAGTTAGAGAGAGTGAAGGAGACAGTGGGAGAGTGAGAGAGTGAGGAAGAGTGAGAAGGAGACAGTGGGAGACAGAGAGAGAGAGAATGAAGGAGACAGTGGGAGTGTGAAAGAGACAGTGAAGCTGACAATGAGAGAGTAAGAGAGAGTGAAGGAGACACTGGGAGAGTGAGAGAGTGTGAAGGAGACAGTAGGAGAATGAGAGAGAGGGAGAGAGACAGCAGGAGAGTCAGTATATTTGAGTCATTCTTAAAAAGGTTTCTTCTTCCTTTCTCCAACACTGTGTGATCTACCGGAGCAAAACGGCTCAGAAATGGATCTAAACTGTCACCTTTTACAGGACTAACAAAAATGCCAAGTTAAAACTGTGGCAGGCAGCAGGACAGGCCATCTGTTTTTACATATACTTCTATGGAAGTATATAGTTCCACAGGAGAAAAACACATCACTCATGCTCAAAGAAGACAAAGACAAATTCTACAAGTACAAAATAAGTCCACACAGAGGGGATTTTAGTCAACTAAGCTCTTAAACACCTTTCACACATGCTCTTTTACACAGGAATTTAACGGTAATTAAATGGAAAGGAATTCAATGTGAGTGAGAGGTAGATTTGAAATCCTGGTCAACCCGACACTGCAACTGACCTGCACAAGACCCGAGAAATTACAGGGAGGGCTCATGTGTGAACAGAAGCAGATACATTAGAGTGGAATGCAGTGACACCTAGATTACAGCGTATTTTATACAGGTTTCAGAAATGCAAGAGGAGCCGTTTCATGCTAGAGTAAAAACCTTGCGTGTGCATGTGTCTGTAGAGCCTCACCGGTTGAACAAGCACATTGTTCTTTCCATAAAGCAGATGTATACGCGAGTTCTGATGTAGAGACTCCACGTACTCCCTCGCTGAAGCTGCAAACTTATCTTCAGACATGCTCCCGCTAGACTGCCTCTTCCGGATCTGAGATCAGGAGGTGAGGGTTTGGAATATGCAGTGGAACACAGTAATGCCCACGATCATAAATCATACATACAGTCTAAATGTGTTCAATTATGCAAAACAAAAGCTTCCATTCTCTCCTTGACAAACTCTCAGCCCTCACACCCTTTCTCACCCCCAGAGCAGGCCTGCGGCTGGGTGAGGCCTCCTGACCCCGGTGGGCTCCATGGATACGGTGCCTCTGGACCAATTCGTTGGCTGAGGGGTCCGTCCAGAAATGGTCTGACGTCTTCAGCTTGGTGTACTCCAGAGCACAGGGCCCAACTATGGTGGAGCACAATAATAAGAAAGATGGATGGGGGATCATTTTGACTGAAAGGATTACACTGCTGACAAAGAAACAACATCATAATAATAATAACAACAACATGCTTTGTCCAGTGCATGTATAGTACTGCTCAAAAGTAAGAGGCCACATTTCATTTATTTGATTTCCAAGAAGAGGTTTGTGAACGCTTTTGGAATAACTTAGTTTTCTGGATTAATTGGTCATAAAATGTGATCTGATCATCTTGGTCACAAGTACAGACAAACGTAAACATGTAATTATAATCTTTCTTGTCTTCATTGTGCACACCAATTTGATATTTTATATTAAGGGAAGTTATCCTGCTGCGTCATCCAGTTTATACTGAGCTTCAGCTGGCAGACAGCCACCCTGACGAGATCCACTAGGATCCCTTGATAACCTTGGGAATTCATTTTTCCCTTGATAATGGTAATCAGTCCAGTCCACAGTGCTGTGTGTTCTTTCTGAACAATTCGACCTTAGCTTCATCAGTCCACAAAACATTTTCCCAGTAGCATTTTGCAGTGCCAGGGTGCTTTTTAGTAAACTTGCAGCAATGCTTTTTTTTTGGAAGCAGTGGCTCTGTGGTATCCTACAATGGACACCGTGCCTGTCCAATGTTTTTTGTACGGTAGACTCGGAAACAGAGATGTTAACCAGCTCTAAGGATTCCTTGAAGCCTTTAGCTGTTACTCTAGGGTTCTTCTTTTACTTCATTGAGCATTCTACATCCTGCCTTTGGAGTGATTTTGGCTGGGTGCTCAGTTTGAGGGAGAGTAGATACAGTACTAAATCATATCCATTCACAGACAATTTGTCTAACTGTAGACTGATGAATACTTTTTCAGATAACTTTGTAACCAGACCATATTTTAAGATGACATTACACATAAATGCAGGTCATTTCAAAGGGTTCACATTAGGGGTGGGAATCTTTAGGCACCTCACGATTCGATTCGATTACGATTCAGAGGGCTGCGATGCGATTATAAAACGAGGGGGTGGGTGGGGTCGCTGTGTCAGTAAATATCTTTGGGACGGGGCGTGTACAACATAGCGCGAAAGCCCTGTTTCGCAACGACTGAGAACTGCCGTGCGGACTGCGGGTCACATAGCAACGATGCGTTATTCGCATTTATAAGCAGCGCAGTTGGTTTCCTGGTACGTTAAATCTGCAACGAGAGACTGTCAAACACTAAAAAGTGGCGAAGCTGAAGTCGCTTCTCTTTCGAATTTCCCCGTTCCACCTTAAATGGTGCTGCATTTACATTCGGCGCCACAGTCAGAATTTAAGGTGGAACGGGTAAATTCGAACGAGAAGCTGGAGAATAAGAAGCGACTTCAGCCTCTTAAAACAGTTGAACGTTGTAGCTACCCCTAACATCGGCCGTCCCCCAACATCGGCCACTTGCGCGTATTGCGCAATTCCTCTCGCTCTCCGCCAATTGCTCAGGCGAAATTCAAAACACATAAGCTTGCACCTTACAAGGGCATCTAAACTTTATTCTAGCAAAAAATCATATCTGAAAACAATATTTAAGTATCACTAATAACGTTGTAATTGTGCGTGTACAAAACTGCATGGAACACACAACCCATTTTCATTCCGCGATGGATATTGGTCTGTGTAGAAAGTTAGCTTATCGGTTAGCTTTCTCTTTTCTGAGGTAAAAAAAAAAAGTTTGCCGCCATCGTGGTGTTACGTATATGGCGTAAGGGTGCCCACAGAGGACAAACTTAACCTCACTGTAATCCACTGTAAAGCATTGAGTCTGGTAGGAATGATGCGTAAACGCGATTTCTCATTTGACTGGAACAACCAGGCGCGCAGCAAAGAGCTGAGCTCTATACTTAGATAAACAAGCAAATCAAGTTGAATAATGAAACAATACAATAACATCACATTTTACTAACGAATATATACATATATTTTATGTTTTTACAAATTTATATGCTGAATTTTAGGCTGAAAGATGAGTTACGGAAAACCGGAAGTGAGGTGGCCGATATTGGGGGACCCCCATCATTCTAGCGATTCTAGTGTCAAAGTAGACAAAAACGTTATTATTGAAAAAACTGTTTTCTCATCATGTCAAATGACTCTTGGACATTAATCTACACACATATCTCTCCCGAAAAACATTGATTTGGGTAAGTAAAGTGCTTTCATTTATTTACAGTTAGCTTAGATTCCCGATGTTTTGTTGTGAGGTGGCCGATAACAGGGGTACTTACGCTAACTGATCTACTTTGAGGAAAGGTTTCCTGAGGGAAAGGGGAGGAAAGCGGCTGTAGCTAAAGCTTAAAGAAGAGCAAAGTAAGTCTGTTTTCGTTTATGTTGTTTAGCCCATACTAGGACAAACTGAGACATACTGGACATAAATTGTTGGGAGCCCAAGGTGGTTCGATTTTTGTTTGAAAGGACAAAGTGGCTCTTCTTAACATTTGGACTCCTGACCTAACCTGGCTTTTAATGCAGAGGGAGCCGGTCGGATTTCTCACTCATCCAGTGGTGTTTTTGTTGTGTGCCGTCACAGACTGTCCGGGCGCTGCACTTACCCACTTCCAAGTTCCGCCTTTTGCGTTCCGTCAACATTACGTTATAAATTAAATATTTAGAACATCGATTTTTGACATTTGTAAATCGATTCAGAATCGTTCACGTCCGCATCGCGATGCATCTGAGAATCGATTTTTTACTGCACCCCTAGTTCACATACTGCCTTTTCTTTCTAGAGACCTGCTTTCTGCTGAAAGAACTAAGAGTGATTTTTTGCAGGCCAAGTTCAGTCTTAGAAGTTTGTGCTTCTCATGATCCAAGTAAATGCAAAAACACTCAGTGAGATGCTGAGGTCTGGACTCTGGGGTGGTCAGTCCATTGTTCTGAGACCACCAGAAGCTTTGTTTGATTTGTAAATGTTCTTCCTTTTTGTCTATTTCTTTTTCTCAGTAACACCTTCTTGACAGCTACACATCCTTTCAGCTCAACAGCACTGAAGGATGGACAGAAACACGTGGATTTTGTCAGAAGTAAGAGTGGAGCTTGATTTTCTCCTCTCTCTTAAAGATAAAATCATTAAGTGCAGTTTATGATGACTGTTTTAGTGCTTGGCTGTTAGAAGTGCCACTTTCTTTGTATCTTTTCAATCATTTTTTGAACTCCAGACTTGAAAACTCTTTGACTTTATTATTGGATTATAACTTATCTCCCCAGAAATATTTCCTGAAAAAAAGTTAAAATGTTACTGGCAATGTTTTGACTTGAAAAATAGATAAATAAAAGTTTGTCTCTGACTTTTGCACAGTACTGTACATGGTTGTAATCCTTAAATCCTTAATTTAGGTCAATAAAATCTACTCACCCAGTAGCGCTGCTAGGATTGGGCCAAACACAGAGTCATGCATCAGGGCTTCCCTCTCATAATACTTACTGCAGAGACACAGATAAAGACAGCGTGCATTCTTTATACTACCAGCAAACAATGAGCTAATTTAAATGCAGAACCAAGGATAAGTCTTATATGAACAAATGAAGAGAACAAACAACATTTTGCTGAGGTGAAGAGGGAGGCAACAAGGCTCATTCTTACCTTGAGTTGTCTACAATATACTGCACGATTTTGTCCAGGACCTTCTCAAAAAGGGCGGTGCGGACCCAAATGTGCTTGATGGCTTGGGCGGAGAGTGGCTGTGGCCCTCGACCTGCAGTGGATCCCTGCCTACGGAGGGGCTCTGGTCCTGTGCTCTGCGCCCTCCTGAAGACAAGATGTACCCACAAACATGAGTCAGATGGTTCGCAACTCCTAGTTAAAACAATAAATCTTGGAAAATATACATTTACACCAGTGATGATCAACGAAACAATAATACAATATACATTCAACCTGACACATGGAACATTTTGGTATACTTTCTGTATGACAATCTAATCTCCTTAAATGTGTTTTGACATAGGAGGCAATCTAACTAAGCCTTCATATGAGTTCAGATCTAATCTTCTGCATGCGTGTATGCACACAAATTGATAGGCCTAAACAGACTACTGATTTGATAGGAAGCCATTATTTTTTGTGACACAGAGGTAGATGGTAGGTTATCTTTCTGCCGATGTAATCTTTTGTACTTTTCCACACAGCAAACCCACAGGGGAGCACCAGTGTTCAAAGGGATCAGTTTATCTACTGTGGACCAGGCTGGCTTGCAGTAGTCACGACATATTCGCTCACAGCCACTTATGCCTCGCAAGCCATTCAGCCAGAGGAGATTACACACATACACGTGGAATGTGTCCTCTTGTAAGATTCACCTCAAAGGGCAGTTTCTTAGATAAAAAAAGTGAGTAATACCATGACTTGGACAGCCGGAAATCATACTTCAAAACCATTTACTGTGTCACCCCTGGCAGTGTCATACTTCTTACCTTTAAATGGAATTGCAGGAGCTTTTGACCAAAGCTCTTGCAATTACAGGAGCGTATTTTTGAGCTGATGCTTCAGAGTGGACATCGCAGAGCTGTTACCTAATACTCTTGAGTATGACTATGAGAACTTTCGGAAAGAAGACATCAGCACTTGGTCGTGTCACTCTGCACTCAGCACTGCAGTAACATTGATGTGGTGGTGGTGTGTTAGAGTTTGTTGTGCTGGTGCGAGTGGATCAGACACAGCAGTGCTGCTGGTGTCCACTCACTGTCCACTCTATTAGACACTCCTACCTTGTCAGTCCACCTTGTAGATGTAAAGTCAGAGACGATAGCTCATCTGCTGCTGCACAGTTTGTGTTGGTCATCCTCTAGTCCTTCATCAGTGGTCACAGGACGCTGCCCACAGGACACTGTTGGCTGGATATTTTTGGTTGGTGGACTATTCTCAGCCCAGCAGTGACACTGAGGTGTTTAAAAACTCCAGCAGCACTGCTGTGTCTGATCCACTCAGACCAGCACAACACACACTTAACACGCCACCACCACCACCACCACCACCACATCAGCGTTACCACAGTGCTGAGAATGATCCACCACCCAAATAGTACCTGCTCTGTGAGGGTCCATGGGGGTCCTGACCACTGAAGAACAGGGTAAAGGGGGGCTAACAAAGTACGCAGAGAAACAGATGGACTACAGTCTGTAATTGTAGAACTACAAAGTGCACCTATATAGTAAGTGGAGCTGATAAAATGGACAATGAGCATAGAAACAAGGATAATGTTATGCCTGATCGGTGTACATATAAAATGTTATGCTTATAATGTTATGCTTATATAGTACACATGGTAGAGTTCAGAAATGAAGCGGCCTCTGTTTTCCCTGCCTCTGCACTAGGTGTGAAACTGTGGGCCCAGACTGGAGATGGCAAGCCAGCCAGGAGTAGTGGGGGCCATTTTGGGCACCCAGATGATGAAGCTCATCACTGATCTGAGCCAATAACCCATCAATCTGCCTCATGGGCCAGCTAAAGCCAGCCCTGAGATAGACGAGCCTACTGCTCGCACCACTGCCTCACCTCCATCCCCACAAACTGCTATTAGCATCGATCCCATAGGGGTCTGCCAGTCAAGCTGGGTGAGAGTGAACGTTGGCTCTGATCATGCAGGCCGTTTAAAGTAAACAAGCAAATAAATCTCAGTGCCTGAGATGGCTGCTTGAGATATGCAGATGGCATTGTGATTTACTGTCAGATTCTGCAACGAGACGAATAACGCATTTCAGAGAACTGATGATTCGGAAGGTGTGGAAAACTTATGAAGCAACAAGCAATCAAGATGAACTTCTTTTCACAGCAGTCGTAAATAGCCATTTCCATCAGTTGTGGAGGAGGTGCATTTTTGCACATTAAAATAAAAACAAATCAGAATTGGAATGCATTTCAATGAAAATGTGTAACATTTGTGAAACCAGAAGCGAACTAGATGTTCGTCTAAGTGAGCAAGACGGTCAACATTCAAACACATACAATAAAACTGTGTTTTATTGTGTTTAGATGTTTATTTCTTTACTGTGGCAGTTTTAATACACCATAAGGCCAAAAGTAGATGGACACTTGACCTTCACACCTTCACACACTTGGACATCTCAATCCAAAACCATCGGCATTAATAAGGAGTTGGACTGCCTTTGTGGTATAACAGCCTGAACAGTGTCTGTGGGAATTTGTGTCCATTCAGTTAAAAAAGAATTTGTGAAGTCAGTCATTGATGTTGGACAAGAAGGCTTGGCTCGCAATCAAGGTTTTCAGTGGAGTTGAGGTCAGGAAACAATGAGCCTCATTCGCCATCTTTCTTAAAAAGAAATTTCTTCTTAAAATCCCCATACACAGTTTTCGCAAAGATTCTGACATTCACCAATGTTTTCTTATTCGGGCTTTGTTCTTGGGTAAGAACAGAATCTACAGACACTCAGTTTAAGAACACATCATGAATCTGACACAGACTCTTTATTAGGACCTTTTTTAAGAACAAATTTAAGAAAAAACTTTAGAAGATATTGTTGAATGAGGCTCCACATCTGTATGGACCTGGCTTTGTGCATAGAGGCACAGTCAACAGGAAAAGACTTTCTCCAAGGCCCATGAAAACCCTTTTCATGAAGGTCCAACGCACAGCTCTCGTGCTGATGTTGCTTCCACAATAAATGGTGCAACAGAAGAGAGATGATGTTTATGTGCTTCAGTACTCAATGGCTCTACTCTGTGAATTTACATGGAGTACAGCATCATGGCTGAGGTTTTGTTGCTCCTAGATGCTTCCATTTCACAATAATTGCATGACTTGTGGCATCCTATGACAGAATCATGTTCGGTGCGACCCAGTGAGAGCCATTTAGCCATTCTACTATTTTATGGAATTGTGATGTTTACAAATATAATAATTTCCAACTAAAAAATTAAATACTATAACATTAAATCCAAGTTCCAAGTTAAATCTTCTGCCCCAAAAACTCTCCATCTCTCTTAACAGATCATTCTCACGATCATAGAAGTCCTGGCTGGGAGCATGACATTTGCTCTCCTGTATGTGAGCCAAGGATCCACCTCTCTCATTTCTGAGCAACATCCAGCTAACACAATTTGAACCCAAAACGGATGTGGCAAATTAGATCTGGCCCGTGCTATGGGATGGGGCTCCGTTGAGCAGCTCCTATTGGCTCAGGCAGGCAAATTGCATTTTAGACCTCCGAGAGACGCTATAGGAGAAAGAAGACAAGCAAATTAAGAAAGCAATGAAGCTGGAGTATGCCACAGGTACAATAACTCTCTCGCAATCGTGATGAGTTCCTTTATTAAGCCCTTGGTATTCTTTGTAATAACCTTTCATTCTGAAATCAATTTGAGTCCTTAATCACTGTCGCTGAGGTATTCAATAAGTAGCAAGTAGCCGGTTGCTCTAGCGATGATGACGCCCCAATGTCACCATGGCAACGGGAGTAACTGAGCAAATGGGGGCTCAGCAGAGTGGAAAGGGATGGAACGCACACACACACACACACAAGGAACATGCGACCAGGGCACTCTGCATTAAGGCTGCGTGGGTGTGAGTGCTGAAGCTCTGCATTGCAAGATGAGCAAGGTTATGGATAAGCACAGGAGGCAAAAGCTGCATGCACCACTCCCTTATGGCAGCAAAGTCACCCGGAGACTCTCCTCATTAGAAATCCTCAGTGCTGGAGTGCTACACTGGCCATGTGGCTCTGCTAATGGAGAATTAATGGGCAAATAAGTAGCCAAAAGAAGCCTTGATGCATCTATGCAAACCATCTCTCACTTAAAGCACAGCAGCAGGCAGCTGCAAGGCTGCTTAGAGGCCCACCAAACAGCCCTTGCTGACTAATCTCCTCACACAGCCCAGATATTATCTGCTTCCTCCTCGGTTTTCACAATTTCCTGCATAGTTTATCAGCCATAAACGTTCATTAATATCACTTCAGGTCAGTAAGGCCTAACAAGCGTGGCTAAACAAGCAACTGTGGTGATGTAAGGGCTGAAAGCCTGTCTTTTACGTTGCCAACCAGAGGAGCTTCTACAGGAACTCATGCAGGCGTTTGATGACCCCCAAGAGAAGGCTTGAAGGTAACAGGTCTGACCTGGTTATCTCGGCCTGCTGCTGCAGCTGCTCCTGGACTTTGCGGCACACCTCTCCTGCTGTAGTGTTCACCTTGCCGATCTTGGTGAAGAGGGCGGCTATCTTATCGCTGCGGAGAAAGCCCGCAGCCCGGCGCTTCAGCATGTGGCCGAGGCAAGCCTCAATTGAGCCTGAAGGAGAAAGAGAATAGAAGAAGGAACCACAGGGGAAGGATTCAGAAATAGGGAGACACAGACAGAGAGAGACCGAGAGAGAGAGTCAGAGAGAGTGTACAGTTAATATACATGAGCAATCAGAATCATTATTACCAACATTGTACAAATTTGCTAATCACTGCGGAGCTTACGCATGCAACAATCTACAATTCAACCCTAGCAATTTCTGGGGCATTCACATTAAATGGACTCAGCTGATACAGGAGAATATCTTATTGTGCGAGTAATTGCTTCCCGCTTTGTTCTCTTTAAGTTGTACTGAGGCCACATGGGCGGCTTTTGTAAGGCAGGTGCCCCAGACGAAGAGAGGCAATGGGGGCTCGGAACGCAATTACCATTGGCAACAGGATTTGTTGGCTGGTGCCAGAGCCCTGGTAAATATTTTAGTAGGGGGAGAACAGCGCAAACAACCTGTTACTGCCACAGCTTCTGCTGCCGGGCCCAAGCTCCTGAGGGTAAACAAACCTGGCTCAGCCTTAACAAACAAAAGATTTTCATACCACTGTGTCACTTAAGGAATTCTTCCATCAGTCAGGAAATACAGTAGCCAGTCATGTTCATGGAGTGACAGATCAAGATGTGATGATGCCAGCCAAACTAAAAACAATGCAATAGAACGTCTGATCTGCATCTGTTGTGACAGTGGGCTAAAGCCAGTCTCCACATGATGGATACTATTGATATCTTGGAAGAATCAAGGCTCTCGCGGCCCTACCGCATCATCGACAGCATCTGGGAAAGCAAGCCGAGTTTTATGATGGTAATAGCTCTTTTATTGCTGGGCGTGCAACACCGAGGCTGCTGCTCAAAGACTCCCCTCTTTTTCACCTTTAAGAGCCGAACATGCAGAGAGTATATAAAATCGAGAGGGTGAAAAAAAAGGGATCAGAGCCCAGAGGAGGAGAAACATATGCAGGGCATCTAGTGTCTCTACCGGACAGGTGAAGGTATTATTTTAAATACTCTGGAGTGATGACAGACTTATTTTTAGCTACAATTTTTGTTTGTGAAGTAAGTATTTTTCTGATTCTTCTGATTTTTTGATACTTTATTAAAAAAAATCTAACAAGCTCTAGTTATATACAACATAGATTATGCATAGTTTCCTGTAAAATTAAAGCTACACTATATAAGATTATATAATTTAGTTAAAATGGAAAGAAGGAGCATTATTGAATCAGAAAAAACACGCTAAAATGCAGTGTCTGTGCGCTGCTGCAAGTCACCCTATAAGGCCTGACGTTATAGTTTAAAAGTCAGAGGCTTCAGGTTGGAGTTTTTCGGGCCACGTCATACGTCTTTACATATCACCTGCACAGCCTCCAAAAGGAGGTCCGGCACAATGTATATGTCAGAAATGCAAAATCTACATTAAACATGCAGAAAGTATCTAAAGAAAAGAGGGGATATGATGACAATAGTAGAGTTTTGACTGAGATCTCTGAATACTCTTTCAACGTGCTCACAATCATCAAATTCATTTACTCCTGGACGGAGTCAGAAGCACAACCGATGTTACAAAATGTTCTTCTGCACATCACATGCAATTACATATTTCCACCAGAGAGGTCTGCAAATCCCAATTTTTACATAGTGCAGCTTTAAATAGACAAACTCATGCACTACCTGACTTGGATGAGATACAAAAATTGGGAAGTAACTTAAGAAACTCCCTGGCACTATTTATTTTTTTTAGTGGTATATGGTAATTTTTTTGGACTACAAAAAATTCTCATTCAAATTTTCAAATGTAAATATCCGAAGCCAGGTGCAGATCTGATCACTGCACTATAGCACTGTGATATAGCAGTGTGTAGCAGAGATGAGCCAGCTTGTGCCGGAGGAGCAGCATCTAGCTCTAGTCCTCTAGTCACAGTACCCTTTAATTAGAGAATTTCTTGGTCTTTAAAGAAAGGCAAAGCGCACAGTGTTTCATCTTCAGCGTTTTTTTTTGACTAATAAACCAGTGAAAGTTCTCCCTTCTGGAAGATGTAAATGAACTTCCTACAACATTTTTTTTCGAACTCTAATAATCAAAAACAGATGTATTCGCTTTTCTAAAGACTTTACAGTCCGAAACATTTTTAGTGTTTGTCTATGGAACTACTAAGACTATTCTTATTCATTTCAATAGAAATATATGCAAACTATTCTTTGATCCAGTATGAACTATAAAGCACTTAAGAATTGCACAAAATTCTTCAGATATAAATGAATTCGCTAAAAATGATCGAGTCAAATCAAAAAGTGTTTTTTTGAAGATGTGTAGAGAGCCTAAAATTTGTATAAAACATGTATAATGTTTTTCAAAATAATTGTGCATGATAATACTATTCTGAAAAAAATCTAAGAAACATTATTATATACTACCTCAGTTCAAATATAACTTTTTTTAATATCTGCTGTGCCAGCCTGCTAAGAAAATAAACCCAAAACTCCTAGAATTTATAAGATACTTCAAAATAAAAGCCCAGTCATTTGACTGTAGGTGCATGCACAACGTAAGCTACTTTACTATGGTAAGATGTAATTAGATACCTAGTTTTGATCACAGACAGTGGTTTCCATGAAAGATGCTAAATGAGAAACCCTGAAGAGACTCGGGGCCGTATCAGTGATAGTTTTCAATATCAATGCACTATGTAGAAAATTCAATTTTTGACTTTTTGAAAGTATATTTAAGTCATTAAATGGGCTATATTGTTAAGTGGATCTGTCTCTCAGGAGGTCTCTCCCCCCACCCCAAAACACCCTCTCACTCAGTCTCTATGCTTAACAAACAGCAGCATTCAGACCCGGCACTGTGTGTGTGGATCAGATGAATCATCTAAGTGCTGGCTAAGTGCTTTCCCTTGAGGCCACAGCATGTTAACTGCCCCTTTCCCCAAACACAGCACTACATGTAACACTAATGCTCCCAGCCACCAAGCTGAGGCTGTCAGTCATTTTCCCGCCTTCGGAGTTCACAGCCACAACCAGGAGATGGAGCGTGGCTGGCCAGTCAGGGGGTGAGACAGGCAGGATGCAGAACATTCTCATTTCTGTGTTTACATAATGCCTCTGCGCCTGGTGGGTTGCCTGCCTGCCTGCCTGCTTGTGTGCATCTGTACGCCAACACTCCATGCCCATGTTCACACACATGCCCAAGCCCACACACACTTGCACACACAAAGAAGCAAACAAATGCATGCACATAGGCTCTTAAATATAAACCTAGATGTATGTTTCTAGGGGGAAAAATATTCGGTATAAAAACTTCACATTATTTGATTATTATTAAGTGCTTTAAACTTTAAAAAAGGCTCTTCACACTAACATATCTCGTTTACAAAATGGAAAGGTTCTTTAGGGAAGGAAATGTATTGTGCAAAGTCAGAAACCACTGTTTATTCTTTTACTGTCCATTCAAATCTGCCATTAGGTACAAGCAATTTTTCAGGAGACATTTCTGATGAGGAGAAAATCAAAGTAAAATGAGTGAAAAGAACAGAGGTTTCAAAACTGGAGTTCAAAAAATTATTACAAGATGTAGAGAAAATGTGACTCAACTACCATGCAAGACCTGTTAGACCACCAAAACTGTCACCATCAGATAAACAGTACTTAAAGCTTTCATCTTTGAGAGAGAGGAGAAAATCAAGCTCCACTCTTACTTCAGATCTGAAAAAAAAACAACCAGTGTTTCTGTCCATCCTTCCACTGTGAGAGGACAACAACACTGTCTGAAAGGATTTGTAGCTGTTAAGGAGCCATTACTGAGAAAAAGACATGGACACAAAAGAAGTCCAAAACTTGCAGATCAAACAAAGAAGCTGCTGGTGTTCCCAGAACAATGGACTGGCCACTCCAAAGTCCAGACCTCAACATTATGGGATCACGTTTGGAATTTCTTAGATTGTGAAAAGCAGAAAACGCAACCAACTTCTAAGAGTGAACTTTGGAGGTGTGGAAAAATACCCCTGCAATTATTTTCGAAAAACTGAAAGCAAGTCTTCTGAAAGGAAAGGAAGCTGCAATAAAAGTAAAGCATGGACACAGAGACTTCTGCGTACTGTGTATTCTCCATGTGTATTTATAAAATATGTATTAAATATGTATTTTCTGCTGGTAAACCCATTTTCCCCTGGAAATGAAAAGTGGTCTCTGATATTGCACAGTGTACTGTACATGTACAGACATGAATGCCACTAATACAGTAGCACAGTAGTGACTATATCATTGTTACCTTACTGTATTCTGTAACTCTTCTAAACTGACTAAAATGGAACGATCGAAACTTTTAAAATATTCAGCTCGTAATAGGCAAGTTTGAAAAGTGCCTGAGGGCCAATTTCCCATTGCGGCAGAGCCTTTATGAAGATTCAACTGTAATACTATCCACTCAATCAGTGCGAATTAGTATTGTGAAGTGCATCTCACACTCCACATGGGCCTTAATGAGCTGAGGCTGATCAGGCATATTAAGGCTGATAAATCACAGCGCCAAAGTTTTACAGCTCCGGTTAGGAAATGACAGCACAAGTCCTAATAGCGCACTAATGGCTGAGAGCTCCCTGATTCTGTTCAGACAGAGAACAGGCTAGGCTGGGCAAGGGAGGAGAGAGAAGCCGGCCGAGCCTGGTGTCTCTACAGCCCCATCTCCACCGAGCTCATTAGCAGATCTAATTAAGGCAGAGGCACAATTAGCTGTGGCTGAATGTCAGGAGTGGACTGAACGTGGGGAGACAGACCAAATCCAACCACTGGGCTTTCCAGCCGGCCATACAGTCTTGATTCAGGAAGACAATGGCATAAAATTACACATACATAAGTGCATATAAACATTTTATAGTCTTTATAAATACATATACACACTGAATTGCAAAGTTATGTTTACCACCTACTATTGAACAAAATCCAAAGTCATACATCATGTGACAACAGTGTGCAGTGTAAATGAGGCAGATTAGTGATTC